TGCATGTGGTATGACTCTGCGTATACATCTGAGACTGTGTATATCTCTGTTTTTGCATATGTGTGTCTTTGCATATGCCTGTGTGATTCTGTGTGTGCACTGGGTATGTCTGTATTAATTTACTGTGTGTCTGTGTGTTTGTCTATATGTCTGTGTGTCTGTATATGAATGTGTGGGCTTGTAGTCGCGCCTGTGTCTATGTTTGTGTATGTTTGTGTCTTGTGTCTATGTCTATATATATATATGTGTATCTTTGTGTCTCTGTGTCAGTTTGTGCACATTTGTCTATGAATGTCTATGTATGTCTGTGTGCACATGTGACAGCATCTATGTGGGTGTATCTGTATATGTCTGTGTCTGTGTATGCACATGTTATCTGTGTATACGAGCAAGTTGTGTGTTGCATGTGGATGTGCGTCTGTGTATATTTCTCTGTGAGTCCGTGTGTGATTATGTGTGTGGCTTCACATATGCCTGTCTATGTATCTGTGTATGCACAGAGTGTGTCTGTGTATATAAATTTGTGTCTATGTCTGTGTATATCTATGTGTGCTTGTGCATGTGTGTGTAGTCTGTGTATGGTCTGGTAACGCCTGTGTGTCTGTATGTATCGTTGTGTCTCTATGTATAAATGTGGGTGAATTTGTGTCTGTGAATATGTCTATGTGTCTATGTGTGTCAGTGTGTATGCATATGTATCTGTTTACATGTCTGTGTGCACGTGTGTGGCTGTGTATATTTCTTTGTATGCGGGTGTATGTGTCTGTGTCTATTCATGTTGTGAGTCTGTGTATAAGTCCATATTTTTACTCTGTTGCAGTGGGTATGTGTCAGTGCATTTGTCTGAGTCTGTGTGTGTCGTGTGTCTTCACATATGACTATGTGTGTGTTTGTGTGTGCATTGGGTTTTTCTGTATGTATATATTTGCATGTCTGTGGTTCTGTCTGTGTCTTTGTGCATGTCTGTGTGTGCTTGTGTGTTTATGTATGTGTCTATGTATATGCCTTTTTGTTAGTGTCATTAGTGGTTGTGAGTCTATGTATGTATGTGGTGTCTGTAAGTATGTCTGCGTTTTGGGTGTCTATGTGACTCTTGTCAGTGAATGTGCATGTGTGCGTCTGTATACGTGTCTGTGTGTATTTAGTCAGTGTATATGTCTGTGTGTGCACATGTGTCTGTGCACGTGTGTGGTTGTGTATACGTCTTGTGTGTCTGTGTGCATATTGTGATAGTGGTAAAAGTTCATGTTGTGACTATGTTACACAGGAATGTGTCTGTGTGAGTCTGTATCTCTGTGTGTGATTATGTGTATGTCTTGGTATAAACCTGTGTGAATATCTGTATTTGTATTGGGTGTCCTTATGTATATGTGGTACGTCTATGACTGTGTGTGTTTGTGTTCTTGTGTGTGTGCGCATGTGTGTTTGTGTATATCCTGTGTCTGTATATATGTATCACTGTGTCTGTCAATGTCTGTGTGTCAGTGGTGAACACATGTATCTGTATATGTCTGTGTGTGCAAACATTTCTGTGCACATACATACAGCTATTTATGTATGTGCATCTATGTATATGTCTCCTTGTATCTGTGTGTGTCCATGTTGTGATTCTGTGTATAAGTCTGTGTTGTGACTGTGTTGTATGAGAGTGTCTGTGTATATGTCTATGTGAGTCTGTGTGAATCTCTGGGAACGATTATGTGTGTCTTGGAATATGCCTGTGTGTATCTGTGTGTGCACTGGATGTGTCTTTTTATACATATTTGCATGTCTGTGTATATGTCTATGTCATTGTGTCTATGTATATATGTGTGTGATTTTGCATCTTTGTATAGGTGTGAATTTGTGTGTCACTGTGTTGTGTGAGCATATACATGTCTGTATATAGTGTGTATGCATATGTCTATGCACGTATCTGTGAGCATGTGTGCATCTATATAATGTCTATGTGTGTGTATCTCTGCTTGCGTCTGTCTCTGAGTGCATGCGCGTGTTTGTGTTGTTGTATATGCCTAAGCATCTGTATGTTCATAGAGTGTGTCTATGTATATGTATATTTGTGTCTGTTTATATGTCTGTCTCTATGTATGTCTGTGTCATTGTCTCTGTGTGTTTATATATATATGTGAGTGCCTTTGTTTCTATGTGTGTATCTGCATATGCCATTGTGTGTATGTGTTTCTGTACGTAAATTTGTACCATGTATGTGTTGTATATGTTTGTGTGTCTCTGTATATGTCTCTGCGTGTACATGTGTCTATGCACATGTATCTGTGTCTATATGTCTCTGTGTATGTTTGAAATTATGTATGTATCTTGGTATATGCCTATGTATATATATACGTGTGCACTAGGTAAGTCTTTGCATATATACTGTGTGTCTGTTGTGTCTTTCTATATGTTGTGTTTGTGTCTGTTTATGTATATGTTTATGTATATGTCGTGTGTGCCAACGTGTGCACATATGTATTGTCTCTGTGAGTCTGTGTATATGTCTGTTATGTCTGTCTTGTGTCTGTGTGTCTATATGTGTGTGTATTTGTGTCTGTGCATGTCTGGTGTGTCTATGTGTCTCTGTGTCAATGTGTATGCATGTGTGTGTCTATGTATATGTCTGTGTGTGCATGTGTCTCTGAGTGTCTATGTGTGATTATGTGTGTCTTCACATATGCATATGTGTGCATCCGTGTATGCACTGGGTGTCTTGAGTATATTTGTGTGTCTATGTGTGTGTCCATGTCTTTGTGTGTCTGTGGATATGTATATATCTGTGTTGCTATGTCTATGTGTGTATATATCTATATATATATATATATACACATACACATACATATTTCTACTGTGGATATGTGTGCCTTTGTGTGCCTTTGTGTCTGTCAGAGTGTGTGGATGTGTGTGGATGTCTATGTCTGTGCATGTCTATTTTTGTATGTGTGCATGTTGTGAGTCCGTGCATAAATCCGTTTTGTTAATGTGTGGCATGTGTCTGTGTGAGTCTGTGTATCTTTGTGTGATTATGTGTGTTTCTTGGTATATGTATGTCTGTGTGCATGTGTCGACGCATATGTGTGCGTCTCTGTTCATGTCTGTGTCTGTCTGTGCCCATATTATGAGACTGTGTATAAGACCATGTTGTGACTGTGTTGCATGTGGGTGTGTGCCTATGTATGCGTCTATGTGTATATATCTGTCAATGTGTGATGGTCTTTATCTTTGGGTATTAGTGTGTGCACATGTGTCTTTCTGTCCATCTCTGTGTGTGCACATATGTTGGTGTGCACATATGTTGGTGTGCATGTGTATGTGGCTGTCCATGTCTGTGTCTGTGTAGATGTTTGTGTCTGTGTATGAACATGTTGTGAGTCTATGCATAAGTCTGTGTTGTGATTATGTGCCATGGGAGGGTGTGTGTCTATGTCCTTGTCTTTGTGTCTCTGTGTTGGTGTGTGCATGTGTGTTTCTGTGTATGTCTATGTGGTGTGCATGTGTGTTTTTGTGTATATGTCTGCATGTGCGCACATGTGTTGGTGCACATGTGTATGTGGCTATGTCTCTGTGTGTCTGTCTATATGTCTGCGTCTCTGTGTGCACATGTTGTGAGTCTGTGCATAAGTCCATGTTTGTGCCTGTGTGTGCATGTGTCTATGTAGACATATATGTGTGTGTCTGTATATGTAAGTACATGTGTGTCAATGTGTGCGTGCATGTGGATCTGTGTCTGTAGATATGTGTGTTTCTTTCCATGTGTCCGAGTATATATGCATGTCTGTGTGCATGTATGTTTGCATATGTTTGTATGTCTGTGTGTGCATGTGTATTTATCTGTGTGTGCCACCTGTGTATATGTCTGTGTACATGTCTGTGTGCATTTCTGTGTATCTATGTCTATATTTGTGTGTCTCTGGATTTCAGTGTGTGTGCATATTTGCATCTGTGTATTCGTGTCTGTGTGTATGTCTCGGTGTGTCCTTGTGTACATGTTTTATCTGTGTATATGTCTGTCAGTGCATGATTTTGTGCACATGTATGTATATGTGTTTCTGTGTACATCTCTACATGTATCTCTATGTCTGTGTGGGAATATGTCTATATGCCTATGTCTGCATGTGTGTTTGTATGTGAGTATATTTCTGTGTTTTTGTGTGTATCTATCTATGTGTATATGTCTGAGGATCTCAGTGAAAGAATATGTATTTGTGTTTGTGTATAGTTCTGTGTATCTATCTGCATGTTTATGTCTTTGTATCTATGTTTATATGTCTGTGTGTGCATGCTTGGTGCCTATGTATGTGTGTGTTTGTGTATCTCTGCGTGTGCATATATGTGTCTGTGTGTGCATGTGTTTTTCTGTGCAAATGTCTGTGTATGTCTGTGTGAGTGCATGTGTCTCTATACATGTGTCGTTGCGTGTGTTCATGTGTCTATATACATGTGTGTCTCTGCGTGTGTATATGTGCCTCTGTATATATCTGTGTCTCTGTATATACATGTTTCATAGTGAACGTCAATCTGTGTGCATAAGTGTCACTGTGTGTATATGCCTGTGTGTGTGCGCATGTGTGGCTCTGTATGTGTTTGTATATGTTTATGTCTCTGTGTGTGCATAGATGTGTCTGTTTGTGTGCATCTGTGTGTTTATGTCTCGTGTATGCAGGTGTACGTGCCTCTGTATATATCGGTGTGTCTCTGTGTGTATGCTTTGTCTGTGCTTTATGTCTATGTGCCTGTGTATACATGTTTGTGTCTCTGTATATGTCTGTGTGTGTGTGTCTGTGGTGTGTGTGTTCTGTCTCTGTGTATGGGAAGAGGGAGAACAAGTCTGTAAAATCTCTGCAGAAGAGGCCCGACAGCGGGGCGGAGGTGGGTGTGGTCAGTGTGCTCCAGTCAGAGCTGCAGATGGACAGAGGGTGCGGACACTGTCCCCCAGCTTACCAGCAGCGCAGACACGGTGCCAGGGCTGAGTCCCACCACACACGTGTGTTCCAGGGCCGTTGTGGAACTCCTCTGGACGATGACAGCACGACCTTCCTCACTGCTGCTCAGGAAACGCCGGCGCCTGCATACAGAGGGCAAGGACTGAGGGACTGCACCCCTTCCAACCAGTATGGCCACAGTGAGTCTGTGTATATGTCTGTAGATTGTCTTTGTGTGTACATACGGGATTGTGTCTGTGAACGTCATGTGTGTGTATGTGTCTGTGTGTATGGGTGAATGTCTTTGTGTGCCCCTGTGTGTAAGTGTGTGTGTCTGTGTATGTTTGTGTGTGCTCATGTGTTCTGTCTTTGTATACATCTGTGTATATCTGTGCATGTCTCTGTATATGTTTGTATGTGTCTGTATGAGTGCAAATGTATCTTTGTATATGTTAAATGTCTCTGTGCACATGTATATGAGTATGTGTATATCTCTGTGTGTGTCTGTGTGATCATGTCTATGTGTACATGTATATATCTGCTGTGAATCTGTGTATATGTATGTATGCCTGTGCATATATTCTGTGTATATATCTGTCATTTTGTGTGTCTATGTTTGTATGTGTATGTGTCTGTGCACATGTGTGTTGTCCAAGTGTGCAATCTGTGTCTCTGTATGGATACATATCTGTGTATTGTATGTGTGTGTACGTCTGTATGTGCATGTGTATATGTGTCTGTGTATATCTCTATGTTGTGTCAGTGTATGTACATGTGGGTATGATTCTCTGTATATGTCTGTGAGCCTTTCCTTGTGCATGCTGCATCTGTAAAATCTCTGTGTATGTCTATGTATGTCTTTTTGTGTCTGTGCATGTCTCAGTGTCTGGATATACATCTGATTGTGTGTCTGTGTATATCTGTGTGTACGTCAATGTGTCTGTGAGTAAGTTGTGTATCTGTGTATATGTCCGTATACATCTGTATGTGCAGTTGTGTGTCAGAGTCTGTGTATTTTTCTGTTGTATGTGCCTATATTTGTAAATGCAAATTTCTGTGTTTACATTTGTGCCCTTTGTGTTCATGTGGGTGTTTGTGCATTTGTCTTGGGTCTCTGTGTATATGGGTGTATCTGTGTATAAGGCTATCTGTGTCTGTGTGTGCATTTGTGTGTCTGTATGTGTCTCTGTATGAATACGTCTGTGTGTCCATATGTGCAGGTGCGTATGCTCATTTGTGCTTCTATGCATTTGTCTGTATATGTCTATATGTCTCTGTGTACATCTTTGTGTACATATGTGTTAATCTATGTACGTGTCTGTGTACTTACATGTGCCTGTGTGTCTTTGCTGTCTTTGAGAACATCTTTTATATTTGTGTGTGTGCATGTTGGTTTGTGTATATATGTGTATGTCTGTCTCTGTGCATGTGTATTTGTGTACCTGTGTATTTGTGTACCTGTGTCTCTATGTCTATGTGTCTGCATATGTATGTTCACAAGCATGTGTCTGTGTGAGCATGTATTTGTGTGAATGGCTTTGTTGTATGTGTGTCTGCATATGTCTATCTCATTTTTATGTGCGTGTCTTTGTATGTGTACGTTTGTGTGTGTCTCTGTGTCTGTGTGGGTCTGTGTATTTCTGTGTATATGTCTGTGCTTGACAGTGTGTCGGTGTCTGTTTATCTGTGTATATGTCTATATCTATGTGTATATTTGTGAGTGTGCCTGTGTCTTTGCACACTTCTATTTGTTTCTGTATGTCTATGTGTACGCATGGGTGTCTGTGTGTGTATGCATATGTCTATCTCTGGGTGTGTGTCTGTAATACTGTCTACGAGCATGTATGTGTCTCTGAATATATCTGGGTGTCTCTGTACGTGTCTGTGTCTTTGTGTGTCTGATGTGTCTGCATCAGTGTGTGCACACGTATCTGTGTATATGTGTTTATCTGTTTCTATGTGTATGTATATGTTGTGTGTGTGCATGTGTGTCTATGTTCACATCTGTGAGAGTGTATGTCTATTGTGTGTGCACGTGTCTGAATACATATCTGCATCTGTGTGCACACATAAGTGTCTATGTATATATGCATTTCTGTGTACATGTGTGACTCTGTATGTCTGTGTATGGACCGGTTGTGTGTCTGTGTCTCCGTGTTAACATATGTGAGTCTCTCCCTATATATATATATCTGTGTGTATATGAGCATTTCTGCTTACATGTGTCTCTTCATGTGTCTTTGCGAATCTGTGTGCATATGGGTATGCGTGTATGTCTGTGTAAGATAGTATATCTGTATATATGTTTGTGTCTGTGTATGTATATTGTATTTCTCTGACTCTGTATCTATCTATTAGTGTGTCTCAGTGTGACTGTATATGTCTGTGTGTCTCTCTGTTCTGTGTGTATGTGAATTTTGTGTGTATGTATGTGTCTATGTTTGCGTCTGGGTATACATGTATGTGTTTCTGTGTGATATGTCTGTGTGTCTACATATATATCTTTATTTCTCTGCATGTGATTATATATGTCTGTTGTCTGTGTGCACAGTTATAATTCTGTGTACAACTGTGTTGTGTCTGTATGAGTGCACGTGTGTGTCTGTGTGTGCATGTCTGTGTCTGTGTACATGTATCTGTGTGACCCTACGCATACACTGAGGGTGTGTCTCTATACATGATAATGTGTATATCTCTGGGTATTACTTTGTGTATATGTTTCTGTGTATATGAGTATATGTCTGTGTCTGTCTATATGTCTGTGTGTCTGTACGTGTATGTGTGTGCATATATTTGATTGTGTCTATGTGTATATCTCTGTGTGTCTGTATAAGTATGTTGTCATAAGTGTGTCTCTGTGTTTCAATGTGTGTGCATATCTGAGTGATTGTGTGTGTCTGTGGATATTTGTATGTCCATCTGAAAGTGTCTGAGTGTACTATTTATGTCTGCATGTCATGTGTTTGGGTGAGTGTGTGTGTTGTCTGTGTATGTCTATATGAGTATCTGTGTGTGATAGTGTATGTCTTTGTTTTCATGTATCTGTGCATTCATGTCTGAATATTTGTGTCTGTGTATGTCTCCATTGCATGTCTGTGCGCATGTGTGTTTGTCTGTGTAATATGCCTAAGTCTGTGCATATTGATCTGTGTTTGTTTTTCTACATTTGTCTGTGTATGTCTGTGTGTGCATATCTGTGTATATGTGTATTAGTCTGTGTACATGTCTGAGTGTCTACATGTGTGTACATGACTGTGTGTGTCCGTACATATGTTTCAGTGTACATTTTTGTATTTGTGTATGCACTGGGTGTATGTCTCTCTTTGTGTATGTGTGTTTACATGTCTGTGTATATGTGTGTTCACATATGTGTTCACAAGTGTGTCTGTGTGAGCATGTAGTTGTCTGTGCCTGTGTGAATGTCTTAAGTCTCTGCGTGTCTGTATATGTTTCTCATTCTCATATATATGTCTTTGTATGTGTACATCCGTGTGTCTCTCTGTGTGGGTCTGTATATTTCTGTGTATATGTCTGTGTGTGACAGTGTGCATATGTATGTCTGTTTCTATGTATCTGTGTGTATGTCTATGTCTGTATATACTTGTGTGAGTGCATATGTGTGTCTGTATATACTTCTATGTGTTTCTATATGTCTGTGTGTGCACGGGTGTGTGTGTATACATCTGTGTATCTGGGAATGTGTGTCTGTATGGCTGTCCATGCACATGTGTGTCTATGGATATATCTGTGTCTGTTGGTCTGTGGATATGGCTGTGTGTCTCCTTGTGTGTCTGGGAGTCTGTGTCAGTGTGTGTATGTGTGTCTGTGAATATGTCTCTTTATCTGTTTGTGTGTATCTATCTGTAGTATGTGAATGTGTATATGCACATATCTATGCAAGTATACGTCTGCTGTGTGTGCATGTGTCTGTATATGTCTGTATGTATATGTGAATTTCTCTGTACATGTGTGTGACTATATGTCTGTGAATGAAACGGCTGTGTGTCTGTGTTACCATATAGGTGTCTCTGTATATGTCTCTGTGTGTCTGTGTGTGCATGTGCAATTCTGTGTATATGTGTCTCTTCATGTGTCTTTGCGAGTCTGTGTGTGCGTGTGGGTGTGTGTATATGTCTCTGTGAATATGGTTGCATATATGTGACTGCATATTGCAGTTCTCTGACTCTGTGTCTATGTATATATTAGTGTGCCTCAGTGTGTCTCTGTATGTCTGTGAATCTCTGAGTCTGTGGGTAAGTGAATTTTCTGTGTGTAGGTATGTGTCTACGTCTGTGCATTTATCTATGTGTTTCTGTGTGAAATGTCTGTTGTGTCTATGGATCCATCTTTCTTTGTATGTCTGTACATATGTCTGTTGTCTGTGTGTGCAATGTGGGTGTCTGTGTGTATGTCTGTGTCGCGTGTGTTTGTGTCCTGTATGTGTGTGACTGTGTGTACAATAGGGGTGTTTGTGTATGATAGTATGTATATATCTCTGTGTGTTTCTTGGTGTCTATGTGTTTCTGTGTGGATGTGGATGTGTAAATGTCTGTATATGTCTCTATGTGTCTGTGTCTGTATGTGTGCATGAGTGTCTGTGTATATTCAATTGTGTGTTTCTATGTTTATATCTGTGCATCTCTATATTGGCATAGTGTCTGTGTATGTGTGTGTTTGCACATGTGTATGTCCTAGTGTAGATTTGAGTACACGTGTGTGTCTGTATGTCTATCTGTGATTATCTGAACATACTATTTATGTCTCTGTGTCAGGTGTTTGGGCGTCTATGTGTGGGTCTATATGTCTGTGTGTTGCTATGTATATACCTGTGTGCAGGTGCAGGTATATGTGTGTCTGTGTATGTCTATATATACGTGTGTGTTTATACAGGTATGTGTATTCATGTATCTGTGTGCACATGTCTGAATATTTTCGTGTGTCCGTGTATATGTCTGCTGCATGTGTTTGTGCACATGTTTCTTTGCGCATGTGTGTGACCGTGTATATGTTTGTGTGAGTCTGTGCATGTTTCTCTATGTCTGTGTGTGGGTATGTCTATCTTTGCATATGTTGTGCATGTATCTGCATGTGCATTGGTTGTGTCTGTGTATATGTATTTACATTCTTTGTTTTTCTAAATGTG